CTTTTTAGCTTTGTTTCTTCTCTTTTTTTCTACTTTCATTTTCCTTTTAGCTTTTGCTTCTCTTTTCTACTTTCATTTTCCTTTTTAGCTTTTGCTTCTCTTTTCTACTTTCATTTTCCTTTTTAGCTTTTGCTTCTCTTTTCTACTTTCATTTTCCTTTTTAGCTTTTGTTTCTCTTTTCTACTTTCATTTTCCTTTTTAGCTTTTGCTTCTCTTTTCTACTTTCATTTTCCTTTTTAGCTTTTGTTTCTCTTTTCTACTTTCCTTTTCCTTTTTAGCTTTTGTTTCTCTTTTCTACTTTCATTTTCCTTTTTAGCTTTTGTTTCTCTTTTCTACTTTCCTTTTCCTTTTTAGCTTTTGTTTCTCTTTTCTACTTTCATTTTCCTTTTTAGCTTTTGTTTCTCTTTTCTACTTTCATTTTCCTTTTTAGCTTTTGCTTCTCTTTTCTACTTTCATTTTCCTTTTTAGCTTTTGTTTCTCTTTTCTACTTTCATTTTCCTTTTTAGCTTTTGTTTCTCTTTTCTACTTTCATTTTCCTTTTTAGCTTTTGTTTCTCTTTTCTACTTTCATTTTCCTTTTTAGCTTTTGTTTCTCTTTTCTACTTTCATTTTCCTTTTTAGCTTTTGTTTCTCTTTTCTACTTTCATTTTCCTTTTTAGCTTTTGTTTCTCTTTTCTACTTTCATTTTCCTTTTTAGCTTTTGTTTCTCTTTTCTACTTTCATTTTCCTTTTTAGCTTTTGCTTCTCTTTTCTACTTTCATTTTCCTTTTAGCTTTTGTTTCTCTTTTCTACTTTCATTTTCCTTTTTAGCTTTTGTTTCTCTTTTCTACTTTCATTTTCCTTTTTAGGTCACCCTGTCTCAGTGGGGTAAAATTTTGAAACTGTACCATTGTTCATTAACTACCTTTCTTATTGTACATATAACTGTAATTAAGTGCATGACAAATCTACCTAATATTCTGTATAATTCTTAGTCTTTAGAGCATTAGAATTCGTTTGCCCAAAATACACAGCATGCTGGTGGCTTTATTTATGCTTAACAATGCTTTATTACATGTAAACTATATTTGGTACTATATAAAGAAATAAAAAAAAAATCTTATTAGTATAGTTAACCTCTGAATCATGTTATCATCCTACTTCCACTAGTGGGCCCCACCATCATATGACCTCGTCTTCAACTGCTACACTACTCCACTATCTCCAAGTTTCAATCCTCCATGTTTATACCTCTCTGTTCAATCAAGCCAAGTATCCAAGCCATCTGTCAAATATACTCAGGTGTTACACAGGTGTCTCAGTCATCAAACTGATGATAATGTGTATCAATCATGTATGGAAGCACCTTTATGTGTACTAATAATGATACACATTTCATTATCTACATTCAATGATGATGTGTAAATTAAATTTACAATGGTGATATGTCTATTAAAATTTATAAATATACACGATCTGCCATCTGGCAAATCATATGGCACTGTATAAGTCATGATAAACATCTGGTGTGTCAACTGACACTAATATGACTCTCATAAATACTTGTATAGTATTTGTTTGGTAACACTTTTGACATCTGTTGGTGGAAAGTTGAGAACTTGTGGATGCAGGTGTTGATACTGTTACTTAGCACCTGTCATGGCCATGGGCATCGAGTGTGTCCTGCAATACCTGTTATGGCCACAGGTGCTGATAAAACATCTACTAACACCTGTCATGATCACACGTTAACACAGCATATACAAACACCTGCATTCTTTCCCGAGTTCATTTCTACACTTCTTCCCTGCACTCTTGCATATTTTAAGAGAACTGCCAGTATGATTTTCACAAATACTAACATACAGTGCTCGTCATGGCATTATGCTGTGATGAAAATAAAAGGCCTACCATACAGGGAGGTCTTTTTTCATCAGTGCATTCTGGTGGGTAGCAACCGTTAGCATAATGTCACGGCCTGCCGCCACACTTCACAGTGACTTCTCATTGCTCACATAGCTGCCATGGTGAGAGGAAGTGTCACGCTTTTCTCTCTCATTCACCTCGTCTTTTGTCCAGTGTTCCCTTTGGTTTTGGGGCCATACATGTTTGATTATGAGTAAAAGGAAGTCTTTAACATCTGAAACTATAGCTCACAAAGCTGGGCAACAGACAAGAGAAATAGTGGTGAGAGCATTCAGTGAGGAACTAGATGCAGCGTTTCAAGGCTGGTGGTGGTGTCGAGTTACCGTCTGCCAAACTTCTGCCTGGCCACTCGAAGAAGACATCTGTGCGTACCTCAACTGTGTTAAAGAAGCAGTTACTCTCTAACTCTCACTGAACTCTCACACACTAACATTCTCCACTATTTCTTTTGTCTGTTGCCCAGCTTGGTGAAGCCCTATGATATGAACTATAGTTTCAGGTATTAAAGACTTCCTTTTACCCATAATCAAAGATGTATAGCTCCAAAACCAAAGGGAACACTGGACAAAAGATGAGGCGGATGAGAGACAAGAGTGCAACACTTCCTCTCACCACAGCAGCCATGTGAGCAATGAGAAGTCACTGTGAAGTATGGCAGCAGGCCATGACATCATGCTAATGGCTGCTGCCCAGCAGAATGCACTGATGAAAAAGACCTCCCTGTATGGTAGGCCTTTGATTTTCATCACAGCATTATGCTGGGGCGCTCACCTGGCATAATGCCCTAACAAGCACTGTATATCATACCCAGAAGAATGAGTATTAAGGCAATTTTTAAACTATTACACTGTTCTATATGACAGTTACACTGTGGGAACATCCACAGAATTCTTCCACTCTTCTCTATATCACAATTACACTGTGGGATTCAAAGCTATGTATGTTTTCCTGTCATAATCCATCACATAACCTATCTTAATTCAGGCGATGAAATACAAACCTCAAGTCTTTCAGTTACATAGTATGAACAAAAGCCATTTTAGTTGTCACATTCCATCACTCAGGATGTTATCTGTTATATTCCATCTCTCAGGATGTTACCTGTCATATTCCATCACTCAGGATGGTTACCTGTCATATTCCATCACTCAGGATGGTTACCTGTCATATTCCATCACTCAGGATGGCTACCTGTCACATTTCATCTCACAGGATGATCGCCTGTCATATTCCATCACACAGGATGGTTACCTGTCATATTCCATCACACAGAGGATGATTCTTCCTGATGTTACCTGTATATTCCATCACATAGGATGGATTTCCTGTAATATTCCATCAAAGCAGGTTCTGAATTATACCAATAAAATCTGTCATCCTGAATGCAGAGATCCTGAAATGTGTAAGTCCAAGTCTCCCACTCAGGCTGTATGGGGGATGGGAGAGAGGTACCGGGAGTGTCACTAGCCTTAATATAAACAGAAGTCTGATTACTTGTACTGGAAAATATTGGGAATGATCACAAGACTTAACACCACAATACTGTGGCTGCAACAATTCACATGTAAACCATAATACCACAGCAGCAACAATTCACAAGTAAACCATAATACCATGTGTGCAATAACTCACAACTAGCCCATAATACCATGGCTGCAACAATTCACAACCCACAAATTTGAAAAACAAATTTATACAGTATTTGGAACTGTTTTTTTTTTCCATTCTTGAAGCTGATATTGTCTGGGCTGACAAATGGTCTTCAAAAGACCATCTCATAACTGATGAGTTGGAAGTCGGCTTTAAAGTATACATGTATACAGTGGACCCTCTGTTTTCATTGATCTCCGTTATCGCCGATTTCGGTTTAGGCCGACTATTTTTGTCGATATTTTTATTCCCTTTTTGTCGATCGTATGGAACCTGTATAGTGCCCACCACGCAAACAAAGCCGCCTCCCACATGCATTCTCAGCCAGTGTAGCGTTATTTCTTGGTGAGTGAACATATCCTGCCAGGTCATACAAAGCATTTCATAATAATCCATTATTTTTGCCACTTGTTTATTGTGTTTGACTGCTAAATAAGTGACCATGGTCCAAAAGAAAGCTCCTAGTGCCAGTGCTTTGGCAAAGAAAGTGAGGAACACCGTAGAACTAAAAAAGAAATCCTAAGAAAATATGATAGTGGCATATGCATTGCTGAACTCGGCAGGATGTATGGGAAGTCGCCATCAACAATCAGCTCCATTGTGACAAAGAGAAAAGAAATCATGGAAGCTGATGATGCAAAAGGGGTGAATGTGATAACCAAAAGAGATCCCAAACAACTGAAGGTGGAGAAAGGGTGTGGATCAGAGAGAAAGAGTTAGCAGGAGATAGTGTTGTGCAGTCTATAATTTGTGAAAAGGCAAGGCAGCTGCATGATGATCTCAAAGAAACTGCTTGAAACAAGTGCTGATGTAGGTGAATTTAAGGCCAGCAAAGGCTGGTTTGAAAAATTCAAGAAGTGAAGTGGCACACACACACTGTTGTAAGGCATGGTGAGGGTGCCAGTTCAGACAAACAAGCTGCTGAAAAATTCGTGCAGGAATTCAAATGTTATGTAAAGGCTGAAAAATTTGTGCGGGAATTCAAATGTTATGCAGAGGCTCAAAAATTCCAACCCCAACAAGTGTTCAATTGTGACAAAACAGGCCTCTTTTGGAAGAAAATGCCAAAGAGGACCTACATTACACAGGAGGAAAAGGCACTCCCAGGACACAAGCCTATGAAAGACAGGCTAACTCTCTTGTTGTGTGGTAATGCTAGCAGAGATTTCAAAGTGAAACCTTTACTGGTGTATCACTGAAAATCCCAGTGTTTTCAAGAAAAACTGTTGTCAAGAGTAAATTGTGTGATGTGGCAGACTAACAGTATGGCATGGGTCATGAGGGAAATTTTCCTGGAATGGTTCAATGAAGTGTTAGGACCTGTGTGAAGAAATACCTCCTGGATACGAAATAGCCACTCCAGTGCCTCCTATTAATAGACGATGATCCTGCTCATCCTCCAGACTTGGAAGACCAATTGTCTAAGGAATTCAGTTTTGTAACAGAACTTTTTGCCTCCTGACACCACTCCTCTCCTCTAGTCCATGGACAAGTAGATCATTGCAAACTTCAAAGAATTGTACACCAAAACTATTTCAAAGGTGCTTTGACATAACCTTGGACTCTGAATTGACCCTAAGAGAGTTCTGGAGGAATCACTTCAGTATCTACCACGGCATAAGCCATTATAGATAAGGCTTGGCAGGGAGTGACTTCAAGGAAATGAACTCTGCTTGGGGAAAATTGTGGTCAGATTGTGTCCAAAAGAAGGATTTTGAAGAGTTTGAGGCTGACCCTGTCAACCCTACATCTGTTGTGCAATCAATTGTGGCATTGGGGAATTCCATGGGGTTGGATGCGAGTGGCAACGATGTGGAAGAATTGGTGGAGGACCACAATGAAGAGCTAACCACTGATGAGCTGCAAGAGCTTCATCTGCAACAGCAACAGACCACAGCTGAGGAAACTGCTTCAGAGGAGGAAGAAGAGAGATGGAAGAAGGTGCCTTCTTCAAAAATTAAGGAGATTTGTGCAATGTGGACTAAAGTACATTCATTTGTAGAGGAGCATCACCCTGAGAAAGATGTTGCAATCCATGCTGGTGACTTTTACAATGACAATGCCATGTCCCATTTTAGGCAAATCTTAAAAAGACGCCAGAAACAGAGCACTCTGGACAAATATTTTGTGCGACAGGGGTCCAGTGACTCAAGCTGGTCCTAGTGGCATTAAAACACAAAGGAAGGAAGTGACCCTGGATAAGGACTTGGTACCTAGAGGCCTTATAGAGGGAGATTTCCCTTCCAAAGAATAACCTCTCTTCCCTCTCCCCTCCTGGGTCTTTCTTCCAGCAACAACAGCCTTCAATAAAGGTAAGTGTCATGTTGAATGTTCATTCTTCTGTGCATGTAATTCTATGGTAAAAAAAAAAAATTGTCGATACTTCTGGGTGTCTGGAATGGATTAATTCCATTTACATTATTTCTTATGGGGAAAATGGTTTTGGTTTAGGCTGATGGCTCTGGAACGGATTAAACATGAAAACCGAGGGTCCACTGTAGTGAATTTACACACAACTTAGAGACAAATATCTGTTGCAATCAAAATTCAAAAAGAACATTTCTGGTACAATTTCACAGTGAACATATAGTGGGAGAGGACAGATGAACTGGCGACTCAGCGGACACCAGCGATGTCAGGAATGAGGTAGAATGTGGATTGAGGGGGTAGGGGAGTTTGCAACAATCCTTCCTTGTACTGAATTTTACGAGGAAACTCGTGTATACCAGGAGAGGGTTTCGGGGGTCAGTGCCCCCGCAGGCCGGTAAAATTAACCTTCCTGTGCCAGGAATCGAACCCGAGCCTCGCAGGTGAGAGCCACATAGGTTTATTTTGTGTGGATTTATTTGGTGCTTGGATAGGTGGAGGGTCAATCAATGGCCTGGATATGAGCAGTCGGACTGTTGGTGCATGCAGCTCATCGTTTGAAAGCCTTCATGTGACACAAGACTCACAGCACTGTCCTTCACGTGACACATGACTCAACTACTGTCCTTCATGTGACACAAGACTCACTACATTGTCTGATGCCTTCCCCGTGATAGTGATCACTTCTCTTGCCTCAATAGTGAGGATTCACTCCCACAATGCTTCTCCTCATGTCTCAGACCAATGTTCTCTCTTTATTATACCAGACGTCTCCCACCCAGGTAAGGTGACCCATAAGACAAGAAACACTTTCACCATCACTTAACCAATGACTGTCTTGTCATCAGTGTTGACATCAGAGATATAAGAAGTTAAAAGAACAAGGGATGAAGACTACAAGTTTATATAATATGATCTGGTATGATCTGGTATGATCTTGTATGATCTGGTATGATCTTGTGTGATCTGGTATGATCTGGTATGATACTGTGTGATCTGGTATGATACTGTGTCATCTGGTATGATATTGTGTCATCTGGTATGATATTGTGTCATCTGGTATGATACTGTGTCATCTGGTATGATATTGTGTCATCTGGTATGATGTGGTATGATCTGGAATGATCCTGAGTGATCTGGTGTGATGTAGTATGATCTGGTATTATGTGGCATGATCTGGTATTATGTGGTATGATCTGGTATTATGTGGTATGATCCAGTATTATGTGGTATGGTCTGGTATGATCTTGTATGAAAAGAATGTTTTTTGAGAGTGAAGGGTTGTTGATGTGATTTGAAGCAAGATAGTTTGACCTTACTGTTGCAGGTGGAACACTCTGACCTTGCTGTTGCAGGTGGAACACTCTGACCTTGCTGTTGCAGGTGGAACACTCTGACCTTGCTGTTGCAGGTGGAACACTCTGACCTTGCTGTTGCAGGTGGAACACACTGACCTTACTGTTGCAGGTGGAACACTCTGACCTTGCTGCTTGCAGGTGGAACACTCTGACCTTGCTGTTGCAGGTGGAACACTCTGACCTTGCTGTTTTGGCAGTGTGGAAACACTCTGACCTTGCTGCTGCAGGTGGAACACTCTGACCTTGTGTTGCAGGTGGAACACTTGACCTTGCTGCTGCAGGTGGAACACTCTGACCTTGTTGTTGCAGGTGGAACACTCTGACCTTGCTGTTGCAGGTGGAACACTCTGACCTTGCTGTTGCAGGTGGAACACTGACCTTACTGTTGCAGGTGGAACACTCTGACCTTGCTTGTTGCAGGTGGAACACACTGACCTTGCTGTTGCAGGTGGAACACTCTGACCTTGCTGTTGCAGGTGGAACACTCTGACCTTGCTGTTGCAGGTGGAACACTCTGACCTTGCTGTTTGCAGGTGGAACACTCTGACCTTGCTGTTGCAGGTGGAAACACTCTGACCTTGCTGTTGCAGGTGGAACACTCTGACCTTGCTGTTGCAGGTGGAACACTCTGACCTTGCTGTTGCAGGTGGAACACTCTGACCTTGCTGTTGCAGGTGGAACACTCTGACCTTGCTGTTGCAGGTGGAACACTCTGACCTTACTGATGCAGGTGGAACACTGACCTTACTGTTGCAGGTGGAACACACTGACCTTACTGTTGCAGGTGGAACACACTGACCTTACTGTTGCAGGTAGAACACTGACCTTACTGGTGCAGGTGGAACACTCTGACCTTACTGTTGCAGGTGGAACACTCTGACCTTACTGTTGCAGGTGGAACACTCTGACCTTACTGTTGCAGGTGGAACACTCTGACCTTACTGTAGCAGGTGGAACACTGACCTTACTGTTGCAGGTGGAACACTCTGACCTTACTGGTGCAGGTGGAACACTTGACCTTACTTTGAAGGTGGAACACTCTGACTTTACTGATTATGCATGTGGAACACTCTACCTTACTGGTGCAGGTGGAACACTCTGACCTTACTGGTGCAGGTGGAACACTCTGACCTTACTGGTGCAGGTGGAACACTCTGACCTTACTGTTGCAGGTGGAACACTCTGACCTTACTGTTGCAGGTGGAACACTCTGACCTTACTGTTGCAAGTGGAACACTCTGACCTTACTGTTGCATGTGGAACTCACTTACCTTACTTTTGCAGGTGGAACACTCTGACCTTGCTGGTGCAGGTGGAACACTCTGACCTTACTCTTGAAGGTGGAACACTCTGACCTTACTGGTGCATGTGGAACTCACTTACCTTACTGTTGCAGGTGGAACACTCTGACCTTACTGGTGCAGGTGGAACACACTGACCTTACTGGTGCAGGTGGAACACACTGACCTTACTGTTGCATGTGGAACACTGACCTTACTGTTGCAGGTGGAAAACTCTGACCTTACTGGTGCAGGTAGAACACACTGACCTTGTTGTTGTAGGTGGAACACACTGACCTTACTGTTGCAGGTGGAACACTCTGACCTCACTGGTGCTAGGTGGAACACTACTGACCTCATGTTGTTGCAGGTGGAACACACTGACCTTACTGTTGCAGGTGGAACACTCTGACCTCACTGGTGCAGGTGGAACACTCTGACCTCACTGGTGTAGGTGGAACACTCTGACCTCACTGGTGCAGGTGGAACACACTGACCTTACTGTTGCAGGTGGAAAACACTGACCTTACTGGTGCAGGTGGAACACACTGACCTTACTGTTGCAGGTGGAACACACTGACCTTACTGGTGCAGGTGGAACACTCGTACCTTACTGTTGCTGGTGGAATACACTGACCTTACTGGTGCAGGTGGAACACACTGACCTTACTGGTGCAGGTGGAACACACTGACCTTACTGGTGCAGGTGGAACACTCTGGGAAGATGTGCAACACTGCAACATACTCAACAACCAGTGGACCTGTGCAAGCAGGTTGGAGTTAGTGAACAAAACTGGACTGTGGGATTCAATTTTCTGTTGGAGTGGGAGTGAAGTAGCAGTTTTGAAGGGATTTAGGGAAACCAATTAGCCACACTTGAATCCTGGAGGTGGGAGGTATAGTGTCCGTACTCTTAAGTATGGTGGTGGTATCATCCCTGTACTCTGAAGTATGGTGGTGGTATGGCATCTGTACTCTGATAGTGGTTGTGGTGGTGGTACAATACCTACACTATGAAGGATGGTGGTGGTACAGTACCTACACTAAAGGATGGTGGTGGTGGTGCAGTACCTGTACTCTGAAGGATAGTGGTTATGGTGGTGGTACAATACCTACACCATGAAGGATGGTGGTGGTACAGTACCTACACTAAAGGATGGTGGTGGTGGTACAGTACCCACACTAAAAGATAAGATTTCGTTCGGATTTTTAACCCCAGAGGGTTAGTCACCCAGGATAACCCAAGAAAGTCAGTGTGTCATCTAGGACTGTCTAACTTATTTCCATTGGGGGCCTTAATCTTGTCCCCAGGATGCGACCCACACCAATCGACTAACACCCAGGTACCTATTTGCTACTAGGTGAACAGGACAACAGGTGTAAGGAAACGTGTTGAAATGTTTCCACCCGCCGGGAATCGAACCCGGGCCCTCCGTGTGTGAAGCGGGAGCTTTAGCCACCAGGCCACTAAAAGATGGTGGTGGTGGTACAGTACCTACACTGAAGGATGGTGATGGTGGCAGTGGTACAATACCTACACTATGAAAGATGGTAGTGATGGTGGTGGCAGTGGTACAATTCCTACACTATGAAGGATGGTAGTGGTGGCAGTGGTACAATACCTACACTATGAAGGATGGTGGTTGTGGTACAGTACCTACCCTATGAAGGATGGTGGTGGTGGTACGGTACCTACGCTATGAAGGATGGTGGTGGTGGTACGGTACCTACGCTATGAAGGATGGTGGTGGTGGTACGGTACCTACGCTATGAAGGATGGTGGTGGTGGTACGGTACCTACGCTATGAAGGATGGTGGTGGTGGTACGGTACCTACGCTATGAAGGATGGTGGTGGTGGTACGGTACCTACGCTATGAAGGATGGTGGTGGTGGTACGGTACCTACCCTATGAAGGATGGTGGTGGTGCCAGTGGTACAATACCTACACTATGGTGGTGGTGGTGGCACAGTACCTACGCTATGAAGGATGGTGGTGGTGGTACGGTACCTACGCTATGAAGGATGGTGGTGGTGGTACGGTACCTACGCTATGAAGGATTGGTGGTGGCCTGTAACGTTGTACCTACGCTATGAAGGATGGTGGTGGTGGTACGGTACCTACGCTATGAAGGATGGTGGTGGTGGCTACTAGGTGAACCTACGCTATGAAGGATGGTGGTGGTGGTACGGTACCTACGCTATGAAGGATGGTGGTGGTGGTACGGTACCTACCCTATGAAGGATGGTGGTGGTGCCAGTGGTACAATACCTACACTATGGTGGTGGTGGTGGCACAGTACCTATGCTATGAAGGATGGTGGTGGTGGTACGGTACCTACGCTATGAAGGATGGTGGTGGTGGTACGGTACCTACGCTATGAAGGATGGTGGTGGTGGTACGGTACCTACGCTATGAAGGATGGTGGTGGTGGTACGGTACTACGCTATGAAGGATGGTGGTGGTGGTACGGTACCTACGCTATGAAAGGATGGTGGTGGTGGTACGGTACCTACGCTATGAAGGATGGTGGTGGTGGTACGGTACCTACGCTATGAAGGATGGTGGTGGTGGCACAGTACCTACCCTATGAAGGATGGTGGTGGTGGCACAGTACCTACCCTATGAAGGATGGTGGTGGTGCCAGTGGTACAATACCTACACTATGGTGGTGGTGGTGGTACAGTACCTACGCTATGAAGGATGGTGGTGGTGCCAGTGGTACAATACCTACACTATGGTGGTGGTGGTGGCACAGTACCTACGCTATGAAGGATGGTTGCAGATGTTACAGTTCAACATATAATTTAAACTGTGATAAATCACATCTGGCAGAGAGCATGCATAGTTCCTTTGTATAGAGGCAAAGGGGACAAAAGAGAGTGCAAAAATTATAGGGGGATAAGTCTGTTGAGTATACCTGGTAAAGTGTATGGTAGAGTTATTATTGAAAGAATTAAGAGTAAGACGGAGAATAGGATAGCAGATGAACAAGGAGGCTTTTAGGAAAGGTAGGGGGTGTGTGGACCAGGTGTTTACAGTGAAACATATAAGTGAACAGTATTTAGATAAGGCTAAAGAGGTTTTTGTGGCATTTATGGATTTGGAAAAGGTGTATGACAGGGTGGATAGGGGAGCAATGTGGCAGATGTTGCAGGTGTATGGTATAGGAGGTAGGTTACTGAAAGCAGTGAAGAGTTTTTACGAGGATAGTGAAGCTCAGGTTAGAATATGTAGGAAAGAGGGAGATTATTTCCCAGTAAAAGTAGGCCTTAGACAGGATGTGTGATGTCACTGTGGTTGTTCAATATATTTATGGATGGGGTTGTAAGAGAAGTGAATGCGAGAGTCTTGGCAAGAGGTGTGGAGTTAAAAGATAAAGAATCAAACACAAAGTGGGAGTTGTCACAGTTGCTTTTTGCTGATGACACTGTGCTCTTGGGAGATTCTGAAGAGAAGTTGCAGAGGTTGGTGGATGAATTTAGTAGGGTATGCAAAAGAAAATTAAAAGTGAATATAGGAAATAATAAGGTTATGAGGATAACAAAAAGATTAGGTGATGAAAGATTGGATATCAGATTGGAGGGAGAGAGTATGGAGGAGGTGAATGTATTCAAATATTTGGGAGAGGACGTGTCAGCAGATGGGTCTATGAAAGATGAGGTGAATCATAGAATTGATGAGGGGAAAAGGGTGAGTGGTGCACTTAGGGGTCTGTGGAGACAAAGCACTTTGTCCTTGGAAGCAAAGAGGGAAATGTATGAGAGTATAGTTTTACCAACACACTTACATGGGTGTGAAGCATGGGTGATGAATGTTGCAGCAAGGAGAAGGCTGGAGGCAGTGGAGATGTCATGTCTGAGGGCAATGTGTGGTGCGAATATAATGCAGACAATTTGTAGTTTGGAAGTTAGGAGGAGGTGCGGGATTATCATAACTGTCATCCAGAGAGATGAGGAAGGATTGTTGAGGTGGTTCGGACATGTAGAGAGAATGGAACAAGACAGAATGACTTCAAGAGTGTATCAGTCTGTAGTGGAAGGAAGGCGGGGTAGGGGTCGGCCTAGGAAAGGTTGGAGGGAGGGGGTAAAGGTTTTGTGTGCGAGGGGCTTGGACTTACAGCAAGCATGTGTGAGCGTATTTGATAGAAGTGAATGGATACAAATGGTTTTTAATACTTGAAGTGCTATTGGAGTGTGAGCAAAGTGACATTTTGAAGGGATTCAGAGAAACCGGCAGGCTTGACTTGAGTCTTGGAGATGGGAAGTACAGTGTCTGCACTCTGAAGGAGGGGTGTTAATGTTGCAGTTTTATAAACTGTAGTGTTAAGCACCCCTCTGGCAAGACAGTGATGGAGTGAATGATGATAAAAGTTTTTCTTTTTTGGGCCACCATGCTTTGGTGGGAATTGGCTGATGTGTTAATAAAAAAAAAAATATCACATCAGTATGAGTGATGGTCAATGTGTCTCTTCTTTTAGCTCACTATCTTAATGCATCACAATTCCTTTTACCTTAGTTAATACCGCCTAAACAGATATATTTAATGTAAGTGTAGTCATCGATACCATGCCTGGAACCCTCTCTTCCAATGCCAGACTTCTTGATGCCCCCAAATGCTCCTTCAGCAGCAGATACCAGACCCTCGTTGATGCCCACAATGCCACACTCCAGTCTCCGAGCCACTCGCCACACCTGACCACATTAAGCATATTATGTTAGCATATATATCAGCATCACAGTCTTCATACAACAATCATCAGTATTAGATTTTAGTTAAAAAATACTTTATTATTATTATTGTTTTAATAGTATTATTATTACTTGATGGGTAAATCTGGAGGTCTGGGTCAGCAGACCAATAGCTATAGTGGTAGACCATCAGGTCTTGGTCAGCTGACCAAAAGCTACCTACAGTAGTTGACCATCAGGTCTTAGTCAGCTGACCAAAAGCTGCAGTACTGGGCCACCAGATGGCCAAGGTAAGGTTTGTTCCCAGACAAACCTTACCTAACCTTAACATTAGCCTTAATATTTAGCTAACTAATACTCCAAGTGGAGGTGGCACCTTCCTGGTGATGCTTGGCTCTCAGCACCATCAACTGGCACAACCCTCCTCTTCCCTGGATCAAAACACTCCCATTAACCCTAAGCACTGATAAACAACTTTAAGTATTCTAGTTTCCAAACTCCAGAGAGCGGTGACTGACCTGAGAGACATCCTGACTGTAGAAGTAACTGGCAAGGCCACACTCAGAGGCATTAGCAATTGCAACGGCCTCGTCTTCACTCTGGAACCTGAAATATATTTCACTGCCATTAATTAGTGTATACGATTTCTATAACACTGGCTTTCTTAAAGCAAGGAAGAGTGAGCCATAAACAGAAGAACACATTGACCACCATCCATTCAATTGCTGTCTTGGCAGAAATGTGTTATCACAGGCAGATGACACTCTGACCTGTAATGTCCTCACCCATCCTTCAGAGTGCACACACACTGTACTTCCAGTTTGTTCTACACAAAATGTTATTCTACAAGAAACTCATTCCTACACTCATGATTTGTACACACTAATGTACACTAGCTTTCGGTACACAGCAACACAACAAGTGCCAGTGTGTGCTGGTTACAGACACTATCTTAGAGAGGAAACAAAGTCTTACATTCCCCATGAACGTTAACCCTTTGACTGTTTCAGCCGTATAGATACGTCTTACGAGCCAGTGTTTCAGACATACATGTACATGTATATATATACTCAATAATTCTAGCGGCTTCAAATCAAGCAGGAGAAAGTTGGTAGCCCCATATGTGAGAGAATGGGTCTGTGTGGTCAGTGTGCACTGCATAAAAAATCCTGCAGCACGCAGTGCATAATGAGAAAAAAAAAACTCCGACTGTGTTTTTGGATTAAAACGCCGAATTTGAGGTGTATTTTTGTATAGTATTTATGGTTGTATTCTTGTTTTCTTCATCTCATTTGATAGAATGAAAAACACATTACAGAAATAATGATGATTTTGATCAGTTTCATGATGAAAACAACCTTGAAATTGAGCTCAAATAATGGAAATGTTCAATTTTCACCAATGTTCAAGAGTAAGCAAATCACACCACACGTCCAATACACGTCAACTGGGGAGTCTAATATTCTTTCACTAGTGCACTGATATTATTTATACCATTTTTACAATAATGCAGTAATCTGCATAACAGTAAATCTTCTATTTTTTTTTGTGAATAAAAAATCAAAATACAAAGCAAGAGTAATATAAGAGAGGCATTGAGACATGACTAATGAACAGCGGATATGTTATTTTAGTGCCGAGAATGTCTGCATTGTTTATTCTGGACCCTATTTTGAAATTGGCATCTTTTTTAATTTGTATGAAATTGGCCAAATTGCCAATTTCTGACCACTTTATTGGGTAGTTGAAATCGGTAAATGGGTGGTTTCTTGTACTCAATTGATAGAAAAAAATGGAGTTCTAAAGAAATAGCTACGAATTTGGTCAACTGGAATAATGGAATTGGCCAAAAATAGAGCTCAAAGTTGGCAAAATTGCCGAAGCATATATATCGCTGAGATCGCTAACTTCGGGGGAGCGTAATTCTGTAAGTTTTCAATCAAATTTCTTACTTTTGGTGTCATTAGCATTGGGAAAAGATTCTCTATCATTTCATAAGAAAAAATAATTTTTTTTTCCCAAAAATTTTGCGACAGAATGACAGTTTCAGAAATGGGCTTGTGACAGTCAAAGGGTTAAACTTAATAGAAAAACACTATCAAAGGAAACAAGATGGAACAGTGGAGAATGATATGAGCCACAAGACATGGAAGCATATAGAAAGACATATTTACTGAGCTAAGTACAGCAGTCATGTGTTATGTCTTGGTTAAGTACAACAGTCATGTGTTATGTCTGAGTTAAGTATAGCAGTTATGTGCTATAAGAGAAGAGACATCAAACACCATGCAAAAACACAAGCAGCAGAGATATATCTGGTATGGCTGGACAAGGATGTGGAATAGAAAGAGGCAGCCACAGGCACACAGTCGTCTCACCTTCCACCAACACAGTCCCAGGAGAACCCTCACCAGGTACATAATCATCAGGCTCAACAGTGGCAGAACCTACGGAGAAATCAGCTGCTGAAACACAAGAGGTGCAGCAAATAGGAGACCACCCTCCCACTGTCACATAAGAACATAAGAAAGAAGGAACACTGCAACAAGCCTACTGACCCATGCGGAGCAGGTCCATGTCCCCCCCCCCGGATTAGACCAATGACCCACCCCCCGGATTATCCCAATGACCCACCCAGTCTGGTCATCCCCACTCAAGGATGGAGCACTGCACCAGACCCAGAAGCACAAGCTAGTAAGGTCCAACTCACACCCACCCACACCCACTCATGTATTTATCTAACCTATTTTTAAAACTACACAACATTTTAGCCTCAATAACTGTACTTCGGAGTTTGTTCCACTCATCCACAACTCTATTACCAAACCAGTGCTTTCCTATATCCTTCCTGAATCTGAATTTTTCCAACTTGAAACCATTGCTGCGAGTCCTGACTTGGCTGGAAATTTTCAGCACGCTATTTACATCCCCTTTATTTATTCCTGTTTTCCATTTATACACCTCGATCATATCCCCCCTAATTCTACACCTTTCGAGAGAGTGCAGATTCAGGGCCTTCAGTCTATCCTCATAGGGAAGATTTCTGATACATGGGATCATCTTTGTCATCCTCCTCTGTACGTTTTCCAGAGCATTTGTATCCATTCTGTAATACGGTGACCAGAACTGAGCAGCATAGTCTAAATGAGGCCTAACCAAGGATATATAGAGTTGAAGAACAACCTGAGGACTTCTATTATTTATACTTCCACTTCTCCGACCATTGTGTCAATCTATTCAAATCATCCTGGAGTGCTCTAATATCCTCATTAGAATGAATTGGACAGCCTATTTTGGTGTCATCAACAAATTTGCTTATGTTGCTATTTATTCCCTCATCTATGTCGTTTATGTAAATTGTGAACAACAACGGGCCCAACACCAGAGGGAACATACCACTGACAACTTCCTGAAAGATTCCAAATGAAATTACTGCCACAAAAGGGGACATCAAGGAGACCAATGTTATAACCAACAGGAACTTGACATACAGGATCATCAGTTTTCTAGAGATTTATTCTAGGAACAAACCAGCAGGGTCTCAGAACTGGTGAACACACACATCACCCACTTAGCTACTGGTATCTCGGCTCAGCAGGTAGTCTGTGCCTTCTACAAGACCACAGAAATACATCCCAGCAACCACCCCAATGTCCTACCTGTTTAAGGACAAACACTTCACACACCCACCAACGCAAGCTGAACAACAATCATGAGGAGCCAGTGAATCAGTATCCTGTTGGCCAACATCAGAGGATTCATTATCAGTGTTGGAGAGCTCACGCACAGTATCGCCAACACTCACCATCCTGACATGATCATGTTGTTGACACATTTTGGATGACAGGACTCTGGCAATTTTTGCTAGAATAGCTGGCTACACCTCATAGATGACAAGAGACAGATAAGGATGAAGAGGGGGTGTTGCTATATGTTTTTCTAAAAGTCTACATGCATGTCCAACTCAATGAAGGTGCCATTCCTAGTCACCAGGAAATGATGTTCTAAACACTGCATAAACACTACTCCCTCTGTACTAGCATGTACAATGTACAGACCTCACTGGCAACAAGCAGACCCCATCACCTTCCTGATGGAAAATGTGGACTCCTTTCTGCTTCAATATTATAACTGTTGGTGACCTCAACCAATATCTTATATACAGGGATTTTGATGAACTCCTTGCAGTGTTTAACATGAAAAAAATTGACTGACTTCCCAACTCACATCTCTGGCTCCTCCCTTGACCCAGTAGTGAGTAATCTATCTGAAGGACCAGTCACTACCTTGACCCAGTAGTGAGTAATCTATCTGAAGGACCAGTCACTACCTTGACCCAGTAGTGAGTTATCTATCTGAAGGACCAGTCACCACCTTGAACCAGTAGTGAGTTATCTATCTGAAGAACCAGTCACCACCTTGACCCAGTAGTGAGTTATCTATCTGAAGGACCAGTCACCACCTTGACCCAGTAGTGAGTGATCTATCTAAAGGACCAGTCATGACCTTGACCCAGTAGTGAGTGATCTATCTGAAGGACCAGTCATCACCTTCACCTAGTAGTGAATTATCTATCTGAAGGACCAGTCACAACCTTGACCCAGAGGTGAGTTATCTATATGAAGGACCAGTCACCACCTTGACCCAGGAGTGAGTTATCTATATGAAGGTATAGTCACTTGCCAACCCCTTGACTATGTTGGATCATTTGACCACAAGGCTGTCTTCACCACACTGAAAATTCCAACAGAAGAATCTACACTCACAACCTGGCTGTGAGAAAGAGGAAACTGGTTGGCCCTCTGCTTGGATCTTGTCACCTCTGTTTGGAATGCTCTTCAAGATGTTGATAACCAAGTGAATGCCTTTACTGAACATCTAACACAAATACATTCCTGACAAGCAGCATGTGATGAAGCCTTCTACCTTGATTTTCTTTTGTTGTCGTCAAGAGGCTGCTACTGCTATGTACAAGGCTTGGATAAGGTATAAGAGGCATCCCACTATCTATAACAGAAACCTGCACAGGCAAGCCAGTTGGCAAACGTAACAAGTCCAAAATTGGTCCATCTCTAGATGGTAGGCCGAGACAAAAATATAACTGACCTCAGATAGAGTGGTCTCCAAAACCTGAAAGTCCTTGGTCAAGGATCAACAAGGTTATTGAAGTTATTTCATCCTTAAATCAAGAGCATGGGACAGTCTCTACTAGCAGTCAGGAGAAAGCTGACCAATTTGCTGAAAACTGCTGCCAAAATGCAAGTTCCTGATCCAGCAAGGACACCTCCTTTATTAGCTGCAATTACTGTCAAAATTATCAGTGGTGACAATAAGGCAGGATGTAGCTTATCTTTGTACACTGCAGTCAGAGGTCACGTATGGTCACTGTCCTAAGCTGTCTGGGAATTAGCGTGGGGTGTTACAAAGACCATGGCTTGCTGTAGTGTCTTGGAATCTTAGGTTAAAAAGTTGAAGAAGGAGGTTCTACTTCTTCAGGAAGAAAACAGAAGGCAGAAGCTTCGCCTAAATGGTTTGGGAGTGAGTGAGAGATGGTTGGTGCTAATAAGGAGGAAAAGGATACCAGAAGTGAGTTAGAGAGTTTAAGT